TAAGCGGTCACCCATAGGGAGTGGTGTTGTGACCACTTAATACTGTTTGACCTCTTGATACAGGTTTCACCGATCAGATGTATTTTTAAAAACGATAAAACGCTACTTAATATCATAATTGACCACCTCAAGTGCAGAATCTTGTAGCAAATATTACCTACTTTTATTGTTGTAGAAAAAAAAAGATTAAAAAGTACTTAAAATAGTATTTTTAGTTTTATATGGGTAGTTCCGCTTTCAGTGACCGTTCAACGCAAGTGAAAACCATTTTAAAAAAAAGCCGATTTGGAATCGGTAAACGGTGACTGCAACCGCTAAATAGATGTGACCGCTTAATATAGGTGCATTTCACAGTGATTAAGGGATAAAAGATCCGGGACTTTAACAATTGCAACTGACAGCTTATTACATGGTGACGGCTTAAGATAGGTTCGACCGAAACTACTAATTAGTAGTGTACACCGGGCGAACGCCTGATTCTGGAAAAGCCACCACTGGTTGGGCTGCAACTGAGGTCGGTTGCCCTTGCATATGGATCGGCACCTGACCAGCTTCAAGTTGACCATTGCAAATGCCCACCTGAAAATGAATTGAGATATGATGTTTTTTATTACCCTGGTTCATTTAATAACTTGTTGTCTATTACAGTTCTTCTCTTGCACAATTGGTCTAAACGCGTTTCGTGATCCAGTATGTATCAGTTGAAAATTGAGTAATATCCGGTGTTCAGTATAAACCATGCACACAGATGAGTCGTGCTTATCGCGTGCGCTGAGGAAAATCTCCATCACTTTTCACCTTCACGTGGGTCAATAATTGTTAAAAACCGTTTACACACCATGTAGTCGAGGCAATTTGGCAAACAAACGTCTTCGACTGGTTTGTTTCTAGCGTGAATGACTAACTAACTGACTGATCATCAAAGTAATTCAAGTTGATAACGCAGAAATATCGAGTTTGTTAGATTCAAGAATCTGGTAGTCATCAACTTCTCTTACTTGCTGTTCCTGCGAGCTCTGACCACCTATATCACTACTCCTAATGGCTGCCATCGCGAGAATGATCTCAAGGATGGAGCATATGATGATCAGGGAAGATACAGCCACCATGGATTTTTGCTTTGCGGTAAAGTTTATGTTCGCCAGCTGGTCCGAATCAAAGAAAAAGGGATCTTTATTATAGTAACCTCTGCTTAGCGTTGAGGTATAACCCAAAGCCATCAAACTGGACAAAGCGACTAGATAGTGGTACACGGTTATCGCTGATACTACAGCACAGGCTACGCTCACAGACTGCAAGGCGTTCATCTACAATGGGCCAAAAAAAAAAAAAAACCATAATAAACCAAACAAACAAAAAAATAGTATAAAATAAAAAAAATCATCACAAAAGGTTGTTACTTCCTCTCTTATGGACTCAAGGCTCATGTATTGGTATATCTTCTGGGAATTACTTAACGTACATTCCACATGGTGGAGAATGAATTGATCCCTCATGATGCGTAAATATAATAGCTTATATTTCGTACCAGATTTAAGGAAGGTCTTTGCGCGATGCTTAAAGTCACTCCCATGGTACCAGCGGCCAACACCTTAAAGAAACAAAGGTAGTGCATTAAAAAATTTCTCGTTTCCAATATTACTCTGATATGCGCAAGCTGATTGACTTAAGATCCATTGAACCGAGAAACCATAACTACTTTATCTATCTGAGAAAAGAAGTGAGAAGCATTCACACAATGCGTACATTTTCATCTTGTGATTTATAAAATTGTAGAACACACGCACAAGTTGTAAATCCTTCCCTCTTTTATGATGAAAAACCTTTTCTCGTGTCCTTCCGCGTGGGTTGTTACGCCGGTAAACCGATAGGAGGTGCGATCCATTGCTTAAATGTTTGACACCCATAAAATGTTTGGATAAACACCAAGAAAACTAGATGGCATCCTTGGCTGAGAGTTACCAAGCGTTTTTCCTCTGGTGTATAAACAGTTGTGCAAACTTTAAAATAAGAACTAAAAGACGTGTTCACTCGAGACAAGAGTACAAATCTTACTGGACTTTCTTGGTAAAAAGTTTTTTTTTAATTTTTCTTTCCGTTTCTTTATCGCTTGGCAAACCTGCACGGTCACTGTTGCGCATAGGTAAACCAATATCTCCGCCATGAAGTGAAGCCAATCATTAAAAACACTCTATAATTACTGAGTAATTGCATTTGTTACGAAAACAATACTGTTACCACCAACACCATTATGTACTGCGGCATGACTCGGCATCGAATTGTTCTGAGCATGACCGTTGGTAGATTGAAGTTGCACTGTGGGCCGATTTTCTTGGGATTACATTTGGTCTAACCATTTATCATACTGACAAATAGCATTACGACAACGTTGAGAAAAACATGCGTTCCGCCTGCTCGCTGAAATATCGTATGGGCGAAGAACTGGTCGAACTTTCATTTGCCTCTGTGTTTGAAAGATCGATTCTTTTTTAATTTTTTTTTAATTCATCTAGCAATAAGTGAAGCGAAGAACGAAACTGTTTATCCGCAGTTTTCCGTGGCGTTTTCTAAGCCACATTTTCGAACGAGGCGGAAACTTTCTTGAAAACGATATCTGAGAAGTAATCACAACATCAAATCCTATGTCATTACGTTACTTTACACTTTGTGAATATTTGTTGTTGTTTTTTTGATTCAAACAGGTTTGAATTTTGACGAAAAGTTTATTCACAGTTAAAGCATATGGCACACTTTATTACAAATTATTTATTTAATTAGTAGTTAGTTTGGTTTGCAGTACGTGCCAGCATGGACTTGAATCACTGGTTCGTGACTAGTCGGTGCTTGGTTGCTTTTGCTGCAAAATCATAGACCGTAAAAGACCTTCATTTCTCGATACAATTCCTTTCTTTAGTATGTTGACACAGAGATAAATCAAACACTATAAAGCGCAGTTATTTTCTCATAAAAGTTCAATTCCATTCCATTTTCTTGGGCATGTGAGTCAGATAACAAGTTTTGTTTAGTTGATAAATAGCAACTGCCTGCACACAATATCCACATGATTTCGCAATTTCGGTGCCGCACAAGAATTTCTCTCCGAAATATCGAGACAAGAGATTGTTAAATACGTCCTCTAACTTTAACTTGAAGTAACAATTTTCTGACTTTTTTACTTACAAGAATCGCTAGCCAACAGGGGGTGTAAGTCATACTGGAATACACAAAACGCACGCTGAGTCCATCAACAAGCCCCAAAGTGAAAAGCACTCCACAGATGATAACCTGGATGTTGGAGATCACCTTCAAGCCGTTTCTGTTGAAAGCCATTTCGAGTTAGCTGAGTTACGGAGATCAAAACGCGTGCTGTTTGATCCACACATTCAATGCGGAAATGTCTAGTCATCACGTATATTCAAATTAGGCATTTCATTAATTAAAGTCACAATTGGTTTCATCTGATGGACTTGGGGAGAGAATGAACAGATATTGAAAGCGTTCTAGAGCGTTCTAAAATCATACAGTCGTGACAACACGAAATACGAAAACCATAGTAACCGGTTTGTTTTCTATATTTTGTAACGCTTGCTCCAGGAGAACCTCTCATTCTAGTCGAGAGGAAGAGGCAGCTGACTCGCGAAAGTTCGAGCTTCAGTGTTCACGACCACACTCAACTTATTAATACCTGAAACCTGGAGTTGATCAAGAGAAATTCCCCGACTCATTAAATCTGTCTTATCTCAGTTTTTCAGTTTCTCGCGGAAGCTCGGACTCCGGAGTAAACACAAGGCAAATCTTTAAACAGCGAAAGTGTTCTCACATACGAGTGAAACAATTTCGAGGGTTCAATTCAAGCGCGAAAACAGATCAGAAAAATGCAGGTACAAGCCAAATTAGCATGTTGCAGGTGGAAATGGAATCTGCATAATGCAAGGGGAAATTAAATCTGTACTGTACAGTTTTCCAAGAAAGTCATCCCCACAAAACTATAAAGAAATAATTATGAAGATGTATAGGTGCAAATAAAATCGGCATTATGCAAAGCCAAATTAAATCATCCTAAGGAAAGCACAAAGCTGTGAATCTACAGAATGCAAGTGCAAATTAAACATGCATAAAGTACAAATTAAAAATGCATAAAGAAATTATTTAGACAATGTATAAACTTAGTGCAGTCAAATCCAGCGGCATAATGCAAGGCTAAATTAAATCGCCTTTGAGGAAGCGCAGAGCAGTAAATCTGCAAAATTCAAGGGCAAATCAAACATGCATAATGAAATTGTCAACCATCCGGTTACTAATGGCCCTCGAACGCCTTACCATTACCTTATTTGCTTTCTCCTATTTATTTCGTAAAACCCACTCCCGTGAACTAAATCAAAAGTTATTCACCAAAAGTACAAGTGAATAGTGGTGGATATTTACCTCGCAGCTCGGTAAATATCCACCACTCTTACTGATGCTGAGAGAATAACTGTTTTAGTACTATATGCCATATACATAAACCAAAACTTTTGGGTGAATGGTGCCCTCAAGGGCAAATAGAAGTGTTCACAATACAATCGACACCGCATTAAGCGGTCACCCATAGAGATTTTTGGGGTGACCACTTAATACAGTTTGACCTCTTAATACAGATATTTTTAAAAACGATAAAACGCTACTTAATGTCATAATTGACCACCTCAAGTGTAGAATCTCGTTGCAAATTTTATTTACTTTTATTGTTGCAGAAAAAAAAAATTAAAAAGTACTTAAAATAGTATTTTTAGTTTTATATGGGTAGTTCCGGTTTCAGTGACCGTTCAACACAAGTGAAAAACAGTTAAAAAATAGTCGATTTGGACTCAGTCAACAGTGAATGCGACCGCTTAATAGATGTGACCGCTTAATATAGGTACAGTTTACAGTGATTAAGGGATAAAAGATCCGGGACTTTAACAATTGCAACTGACAGCTTATTACATGGTAACGGCTTAAGATAGGTTCGAATGAAACTACTAATTAGTAGTGTACACCGGGCGAACGCCTGATTTTGGAAAAGCCACCAGTGGTTGGGTTGCAACTGAGGTCGGCTGCCCTTGCATATGGATCGGCACCTGACAAGCTTCAAGTTGACCATAGCAAATGCCCACCTGAAAATGAATTGAGATATGATGTGTTTTATTACCCTGGTTTATTTAATAACTTGCAGTCTATTACAGTTCTTCTCTTGCACAATTGGTCTAAACGCGTTTCGTGGTTCCAGTATGCATCAGTTAAAAATTGAGGAATATCAGGTGTTCAGTATAAACCATGCACACAGGTGAGTCGTGCTTATCGCGTGCGCTGAGGAAAATCTCCACCACTATTCACCTTCACGTGGGTCAATAATTGTTAAAAACCGTTTACACACCATGTAGTCGAGGCAATTTGGCAAACAAACGTCTTCGACTGGTTTGTTTCTAGCGTGAATGACTGACTAACTGACTGATCATCAAAGTAATTCAAGTTGATAACGCAGAAATATCGAGTTTGTTAGATTCAAGAATCTGGTAATTATCAACTTCTCTTACTTGCTGTTCCTGCGAGCTCTGACCAGTTATATCACTGCTCCTGATGGCTGCCACCGCAAGAATGATCTCAATGATGGAGCATATGATGATCAGGGAAGAAACAGCCACCATGGAGTTTTGCTTTGCGGTAAAGTTTATATTCGCCAGCTGGTCCCAAGCAAAGAAAAGGGGATCTTTATCATAGTAACCTCTGCTTAGCGTTGAGGTATAAACCAAACCCATCAAACTGGACAAAGCTACCAGATAGTGGCACACGGTTATCACTGATACTGCAGCACAGGCTACACTCACAGACTGCAAGGCGTTCATCTGCAAAGGGCCAATAAAAAGAAAATAATTCTAATAAACCAAACAAAAAAAAAATAGTATAAAATAAAAAAAGCATAACAAAAAGTTGCTACTTCCTCTCTTATGGACTCAAGGCTCATGTATTGGTATATCTACTGGGAATTACTTAGCGTACATTCCACCTGGCGGAAAATGAAAGGATCCCTCATGATGCGTAAATATAATAGCTTATATTTCGTACCAGAGTTAAGGAAGGTCTTTGCGCGATGCTTAAAGTCACTCCCATGATACCAGCGGCCAACACCTTAAAGAAACAAAGGTAGTGCATTAAAAAATGTCTCGTTTCAAATATTACTCTGATATGCGCAAGCTGATTGACTTAAGATCCATTGAACCGATAAACCATAACTACTTTATCTATCTGATGCCGATTACTGAAAAAAAGTGAGAAGCATTCACACAATGCGTACATTTTAATCTTGTAATTTATAAAATTGTAGAACACACGCACAGGTTGTAAATCCTTCCCTCTTTTATGATGAAAAACCTTTTCTCGTGTCCTTCCGCGTGGGTTGTTACGCCGGTAAACCGATAGGAGGTGCGATCCATTGCTAAAATGTTTGACACCCATAAAATGTTTGGATAAACACCAAGAAAACTAGATGGCATCCTTGGCTGAGAGTTACCAACCGTTTTTCCTCTGGTGGTGTATAAACAGTTGTGCAAACTTTAAAAAAAGAACTAAAAGACGTGTTCACTCGAGACAAGAGTACAAATCTTACCGGACTTCCTCATAAACGATTTTTTTTAAAATTTTTCTTTCCGTTTTTTTATCGCTTGATAAACCTGCACAGTCACTGTTGCGCATCGGTACACCAATATCTCCGCCATGAAGTGAAGCCAATCATTATAAACACTCTATAATTACTGAGTAATTGCATTTGTTACGAAAACAATACTGTTACCACCAACACCATTATGTACTGCGGCATGACTCGGCATCGAATTGTTCTGAGCATGACCGTTGGTAGATTGAAATTGCACTGTAGGCCGGTTCTCTTGGGATTACATTTGGTCTGACCACTTATCATACTGACAAATAGCATTACGACAACGTTGAGAAAAACATGCGTTACGCCTGCTCGCTGAAATATCGTACGGGGGAAGAACTTTCATTTGGCTCTGTGTTTGAAAGATCGATTCTTTTTTATTTTTAATTAATCTAGCGATAAGTGAGGCAAAGAACGAAACTGTTTATTCGAAAATTTTCGTTTCATGTTCTATGTTACATTTTCGAACGAAGCGGAAACTTTCTTGAAAACGATATTTGAGAAGTAATCACAACATCAAATCCTATATCATTACGTTACTTTACACTTTGTGAAATATGTATATATTTTTTTAAATTCAAACAGGTTTGCATTTTGACGAAAAGTTTATTCATAGTGGAAGGCATTTGACACACTTTGTTATAAATTATTTATTAAATTAGTAGTTAGTTTGGTTTGCAGTACGCGCCAGGATTGACTTGAATCACTGGTTCGTGACTAGTCGGTGCTTGGTTGCTTTTGCTGCAAAATCATAGATAATAAAAGGCGTTCATGTCTCGGTGCAATTCCTTTCTTTAGGATGTCGACACAGATGAATCAAACACTATTGAGTACAGTTATTTTCTAAGACATGTTCCATTCCATTTCATTTTCTTGGGCATTTGAGTCAGGTAACAAGTATTGTTTAGTTGATAAATAGAAACTGCCTGCACTCAACATGATTTCGCAATTTTGGCGCCGCATAAGAACGCCTTACCATTCCCTTATTTGCTTTCTCCTATTTATTTCGTAAAACCCACTCCCGTGAACTAAATCAAAAGTTATTCACCAAAAGTACAGGTGAATAGTGGTAGATATTTACCTCGCAGCTCGGTAAATATCCACCACTCTTACTGATGCTGAGAGAATAACTGTTTTAGTAGTATATGCCATATACGTAAACCAAAAATATCAGGTGAATGGTGCCCTCAAGGGCAAATAGGGGTATTCACAATGTAGTAGAACCTGTATTAAACGGTCACCCATAGGGAGTTTTGGGGTGACCACTTAATACAGTTTGACCTCTTAATACAGATATTTTTAAAAACGATAAAACGCTACTTAATGTCATAATTGACCACCTCAAGTGTAGAATCTCGTTGCAAATTTTATTAACTTTTATTGTTGCAGAAAAAAAAAAGATTAAAAAGTACTTAAAATAGTATTTTTAGTTTTATATGGGTAGTTCCGCTTTCAGTGACCGTTCAACACAAGTGAAAAACAGTTAAAAAATAGTCGATTTGGACTCAGTAAACGGTGACTGCGACCGCTAAATAGATGTGACCGCTTAATATAGGTACAGTTTACAGTGATTAAGGGATAAAAGATCCGGGACTTTAACAATTGCAATTGACAGCTTATTACATGGTGACGGCTTAAGATAGGTTCGACTGAAACTACTAATTAGTAGTGTACACCGGGCGAACGCCTGATTTTGGAAAAGCCACCAGTGGTTGGGTTGCAACTGAGGTCGGCTGCCCTTGCATATGGATCGGCACCTGACAAGCTTCAAGTGAACCATAGCAAATGCCCACCTGAAAATGAATTGAGATATGATGTGTTTTATAACCCTGGTTCATTTAATAACTTGCAGTCTATTACAGTTCTTCCCTTGCACAATTGGTCTAAACGCGTTTCGTGGTTCCAGTATGCATCAGTTAAAAATTGAGGAATATCAGGTGTTCAGTATAAACCATGCACACAGGTGAGTCGTGCTTATCGCGTGCGCTGAGGAAAATCTCCACCACTATTCACTCTCACTTGGGTCAATAATTGTTAAAAACCGTTTACACACCATGTAGTCGAGGCAATTTGGCAAAAAAACGTCTTCGACTGGTTTTTTTATAGCGTGAATGACTGACTAACTGACTGATCATCAAAGTGATTCAAGTTGATAACGCAGAAATATCGAGTTTGTTAGATTCAAGAATCTGGTAATTATCAACTTCTCTTACTTGCTGTTCCTGCGAGCTCTGACCACCAATATCACTACTCCTGATGGCTGCCACTGCAAGAATGATCTCAATGATGGAGCATATGATGATCAGGGAAGAAACAGCCACCATAGAGTTTTGCTTTGCGGTAAAATTTATGTTCGCCAGCTGATCCCAATCAAAGAAAAGGGGATCCTTATCATAGTAACCTCTGCTTAGCGTTGAGGTATAAACCAAACCCATCAAACTGGACAAAGCTACCAGATAGTGGTACACGGTTATCACTGATACTGCAGCACAGGCTACACTCACAGACTGCAAGGCGTTCATCTGCAAAGGGCCAATAATAAAAAAAAAAAAAAAAACCAAACAAAAAAAAATAGTATAAAATAAAAAAAGCATCACAAAAAGCTGCTACTTCCTCTCTTATGGAGTCAAGGCTCATGTATTGGTATATCTACTGGGAATTACTTAGCGTACATTCCACCTGGCGGAAAATGAAAGGATCCCTCATGATGCGTAAATGTAATAGCTTATATTTCGTACCAGAGTTAAGGAAGGTCTTTGCGCGATGCTTAAAGTCACTCCCATGATACCAGCGGCCAACACCTTAAAGAAACAAAGGTAGTGCATTAAAAAATGTCTCGTTTCAAAAATTACTCTGATATGCGCAATCTGATTGACTTAAGATCCATTGAACCGATAAACCATAACTACTTTATCTATCTGATGCCGATTACAGGAAAAAAAGTGAGAAGCATTCACACAATGCGCACATATTCATATTGTGATTTATAAAATTGTAGAACACACGCACAGGTTGTAAATCCTTCCCTCTTTTATGATGAAAAACCTTTTCTCGTGTCCTTCCGCGTGGGTTGTTACGCCGGTAAACCGATAGGAGGTGCGATCCATTGCTAAAATGTTTGACACCCATAAAATGTTTGGATAAACACCAAGAAAACTAGATGGCATCCTTGGCTGAGGATTACCAACCGTTTTTCCTCTGGTGCTGTATAAACAGTTGTGCAAACTTTAAAATAAGAACTAAAAGACGTGTTCACTCGAGACAAGAGTACAAATCTTACCGGACTTCCTCGGTAAACAATTTTTCTTTTAATTTTTCTTTCCGTTTTTTTATCGCTTGATAAACCTGCATGGTCACTGTTGCGCATAGGTACACCACTACCTCCGCCATGAAGTGAAGCCAATCATGATAAACACTCTATAATTACTGAGTAATTGCATTTGTTACGAAAACAATACTGTTACCACCAACACCATTATGTACTGCGGCATGACTCGGCATCGAATTGTTCTGAGCATGACCGTTGATAGATTGAAATTGCACTGTACGCCGGTTCTCTTGGGATTACATTTGGTCGGACCACTTATCACTCTGACAAATAGCATTACGACAACGTTGAGAAAAACATGCGTTACGCCTGCTCACTGAAATATCGTACGGGGGAAGAACTGGTCGAACTTTCATTTGCCTCTGTGTTTGAAAGATCTATTCTTTTTTATTTTTAATTAATCTAGCGATAAGTGAGGCAAAGAACGAAACTGTTTATTTGCAAATTTTCGTTTCGTGTTCTAAGTTACATTTTCGAACGAAGCAGAAACTTTCTTGAAAACGATATTTGAGAAGTAATCACAACATCAAATCCTATATCATTACGTTACTTTACACTTTGTGAAATATGTATATATTTTTTTAAATTCAAACAGGTTTGCATTTTGACGAAAAGTTTATTCATAGTGGAAGGCATATGACACACTTTGTTACAAATTATTTATTAAATTAGTAGTTAGTTTGGTTTGCAGTACGCGTTAGGATTGACTTGAATCACTGGTTCGTGACTAGTCGGTGCTTGGTTGCTTTTGCTGCAAAATCATACATAATAAAAGGCGTTCATGTCTCGGTGCAATTCCTTTCTTTAGTATGTCGACACAGATGAATCAAACACTATTGAGCACAGTCATTTTCTAAGACATGTTCCATTCCATTTCATTTTCTTGAGCATTTGAGTCAGGTAACAAGTACTGTTTAGTTGATAAATAGAAACTGCCTGCACTCAACATGATTTCGCAATTTTGGCGCCGCATAAGAATTTCTTACCGAAATATCGAGACAAGAGATTGTTAAATACGTCCTCTAACTTTAACTTGAAGAAACAATTTTCTGACTTTTTTACTTACAAGGAACGCTAGCCAACAGGGGATAAAAGTCATACTGGAAATCGCAAAACGCACGCTGAGTCCATCAACAAGCCCCAAGGTGAAAAGCACTCCACAGATAATAACCTGGATGATGGAGATCACCTTCAAGTCGTTTCTGTTGAAAGCCATTTCGAGTCAGTAGAATTACGGAGATCAAAACGCGTGCTGTTTGATCCACACCTTCAATGCAGAAATGTCTTGTGATCACGTATATTCAAATTAGGCATTTCATGAATTAAAGTCGCAATTGGTTTCATCTGAGGGACTTGGGTAGGAGAATGAACAGATATTGAAAGAGTTCTAGAGCGTTCTAAAATCATACAGTCGTGACAACACGAAATACGAAAACCATAATAACTGGCTTGTTTTCTACATTTTGTAACGCTTGCTCTAGGAGAACCTCTCATTCTAGTCGAGTGGAAGAGGCGGCTGACTCGCGAAAGTTTGAGTTTCAGTGTTCACGACCACATTCAACTTATTAATATATGAAACCTGGAGTTGATCAAGAGAAATTCCCCGACTCATTAAATGTAAATCTGTCTTATCTCAGTTTTTCAGTTTCTCGCGGAAGCTCGAACTCCGGAGTAAACACAAGGCAAATGATTAACCAGCGAAAGTGTTCTCACATATGAGTGAAACAATTTCGAGGTTTCAATTCAAGCGCGAAAACAAATCAGCAAAATGCAGGTACAAGCCAATTAGCATGGTACAAGTGCAGATCGAATCTGCATAATGCAAGGACAAATTAAATCTGCATTGTGCAATTTGCCAAGAAAGTCAGCCCTACACAAGTGTAAAGAAAATGATTAGGAAGATATATAGGTGCGAATAAAATCGGCATTATGCAAAGCTAGATTAAATCATCCCAGGGAAAGCGCAAGGTGAATCTGCAGAATGCAAGTAAAATTAAACATGTATAAAGAAATTATCTAGACAATGTATAAACTTAGTGCAGTCAAATCCGGCGGCATAATGCAAGGCTAAATTAAATCGCCTTAGAGGAAGCGCAGAGCAGTAAATCTGCAAAATTCAAGGGCAAATCAAACATGCATAATGAAATTGTCAACCATCCGGTTACTAAAGGCCCTCGAATGCCTTACCATTCCCTTATTTGCTTTCTCCTATTTATTTCGTAAAACCCACTCCCGTGAACTAAATCAAAACTTATTTACCGAAAGTACAGGTGAATAGTGGTGGATATATACCTTGCAGCTTCGCAGCTCGGTAAATATCCACCACTCTTACTGATACTGAGGTGAATAACCGTTTTAGTAGTATATGCCATACACATTAACTAAAAAGATTAGTTTCTGTCGGCTGCTTGGAGGTGAATGGTACCCTCTAGGGCTAATAAGGGTGTTCACAATATAGTCGACCTTGTACTAAGCGGTCACCCACGGGGAGTGGTGGAATGAACGCTTAAACAGTTACCGATAAGGGGTATTACTAAAAGCGATAAAAACGCCACTTTATGCCATAATTGACTACTTCATATGCAGAATCTTGGTTGCAAATATTACTTCCTTTTATTGCTGTAGAGAAACATAGATTAAAAAGTACTTAAAATAGTATTCTTATTTTTATTTAAGTGGTTCCGCTTTCAGTGACTGTTCAATACAAGTGAAAGACAATAAAAAATAGGCGGTTGGGACTAAGTAAACGGTGACTGCGACCACCAAATAGATGTGACCGCTTAATATAGGTAGATTTTACAGTGATTAACGGATAAAACATTCGGGACTTTAACGATTGCAACTGACAGCTTAATACATGGTGACGGCTTAATAAAGGTTCAACTGTAGGCGGTAAGCGGTTACCCACGGGGAGCGGTTGAGTGACCGCTTAAACAGTTTGAAAACTTAATTCAGGTTCCGTAAAGGGTAAAAAAGCTGACGTTTCGAGCGTTAGCCCTTCGTCAGAGCGATTGTATGGCTCTGACGAAGGGCTAACGCTCGAAACGTCAGCTTTTTTACCCTTTACGGTGGCTAATTTACGTTTTAAACCCAGTTGTTAACACTAAATTACCTGCTTTACTCTCCCACCGACGCAGCACCACAGTTTCTTTAGAAACTTACCCCTTTATTAATTCAGGTTCCACTGATCAGGGGTATCATTAAAAACGATAAAAACGCCATTTTATGCCATAATTACAATACAAGTGAAAGACAATAAAAAAAAAGGCGGTTGGGACTTAGTAAACGGTGACTGCGACCGCCAAATAGATGTGACCGCTTAATATAGGTACATTTTACAGTAATTAAGGGATAAAACATTCGGGACTTTAACGATTGCAACTGACAGCTTAACACATGGTGACGGCTTAATAAAGGTTCAACTGTAGCTACTAATTAGTAGTGGCTGGAAAAGCCATCAGTGGTTGGGCTGCAACTGAGGTCGGCCGCCCTTGCGTATAGATCGGCACCTGATCAGCTTCAAGCTGGCCATGGCAAATCCTTACCTGAAAATGAATTGTGATATGATGTGTTTTATTACCCTGGTTCATTTAATAACTTGTAGTCAATCAAATGTTTCCCTTGCGCGATTGGTCTAAAGGCGTTTTCATGATTCAATATGCATCATTTAAAATTGAGGAATATCCGGTGTTAGTGTAAACCACACAGGTGAGTAGTGGTTATCGTACGCCCTGGCTGTTTTGATTTCGCGTTTTGTGACCTAATTAATGTGATCCATAGGTGAAAATTGAGGAATATTAGGTGTTAGCGTACACCACACACGTGAATGTTGGCTGGTTCGAAAGTGACTAGCAAGTACGATTCACCTCCAAGTGACCAAATTGACATAAATAAACTTTTTTTAATTTTTTTTTTTATTGGGGGGGAGGGGGGGGGACTTTCTGTGTGGTATATAGTAAGACAATCAATCGGTTTCGCTTCGCGGGTGGGCAGCACTATTCACCTTCACTTAGGTCAATAATTATTAAATATCGTTTATACACCGTGTCGTCGAGGCAATTTGGCAAACAAACGTCTGCGACTGGTTTGCTTATAGCGTGCTGGCAAACATATTGATTAAATAAATGACTGATTAGTTTAATGACTGATTGCCCAGACGAAAAGATTTGACGAAAATTGACTGACTGGCCAGATAACTGACTGACTAACTGACTGATCATCAAAGTGATTCAAGTTGATAACGCAGAAATATCGAGTTTGTTAGATTCAAGAATCTGGTAGTCATCAACTTCTCTTACTTGCTGTTCCTGCGAGCTCTGATCACCTATATCACTGCTCCTGATGGCTGTCACCGCAAGAATGATCTCAATGATGGAGCATATGATGATCAGGGAAGAAACAGCCACCATGGATTTTTGCTTTGCCAAGCTAGCCTAGTTACACCAAAACCTGTTCAAATCATAGTCAAGATAGTGTTGATGAATTCATACATCCCGTTTTGAAATGTCCATGTGATGTAACTTGACTTTCTTTTAATATTTCAGATCCATATGTACAGAAGGAGGCCTTACAAACCCCTGTAATTGTACACTGGTCTGTTTCAAGGCAAATTACACCTAGAAAATTATGTGTGAGCAGTGAAAGACTAATTTTCTTGGATGCTATTGGATCAACAGTACTCCATTGCCTTGTGAACAGAAGGAAGAGGAGTCAAAAATCTAAATCTTGCATCGTCCGTTGAAATCAAAATTATTGAACGGGTAACTTCGAGGAAAAACATTTATCTCATATCAATTGATGACGATATCGTCACTCAGTAATGGTGATGTAAATTCGGCTTCAAGTGTCCTCATTCCAAGGTCATCTAATTTTAAATTTCTCTAAAAATGAACAGATCATCCTATTCTGCAACAGATGAGCTCTCCTTACTTCCATCATTTCTTTGATTAAACGAAATTTTAAAAAATTTGAAAACAAACTTTAAAAAGAATCTTAAATGTGTTAGGAGCTCATCCTGAATGTGTACAAAAATTCAATTACACGATTTTTTTTTTTGCAGGGAAGAGAAAATTAATTTCCTTTCAACAACTTACCTTTTGGCATTTGATTAAAAGCCTGCATGATTTATGAATAGTTCTTTTTAATAAAGCGGGTATGGGCCTCTGTTAATAGCCTTTAGTTTCCAACCGTGGATTTATTTTCACAAGTTTATCCTATCATTCAAAAAACATCAGCATACACAATATTGTTATTTCAACTATGATCACTGAAAAATAGAAAAAGCATAAATAGAAAACTGATCGAAATTGTTGGTATGCGTAGGCCCTCTACAATTTGTCTTTTTTGAGAATGGAAAAGCAACGACTCAGAATTTCTGCAGCATTGACCTTGCAACACATAAAATTTCTTTAACTCAGGATGTCATTGCTTGCAGAATTTCTGCTGCTGTGGACGTCAAGGCGTGCAGAATTTCTGCAGCACTGGACGTCAAGGCGTGCAGAATTTCTGCAGCACTGGACGTCAAGGCGTGCAGAGTTTCTGCAGCACTGGCGTCAAGGCGTGCAGAATTTCTGCAGCACTGGACGTCAAACCTTGCAGAATTTCTGCATCATTGAACGCCATATCATGCAGAATTTCTGCAGCACTGGACGTCAAACCTTGCAGAATTTCTGCATCATTGGACGCCATACCATGCAGAATTTCTACAGCACTGGACGTCAAGGCGTGCAGAATTTTTGCACGCTTGGGCCATCAAACTTTGCAGAATTTCTGCATTACAGTTCTTGATACCATGTGAAATAAAAATGAAAAGAAAAAACCGCTTAAACATATTAAGGGTTAAAATCAAAGACTTTATCGTTCCATTCTTAAACGTGCAGAGCATTATGTGCACTTTGACCAGATTTAACAAGCAACGCAGTAAAAAAATGAATATTTGTACGAGTAAATTGTACCTACGTTTAACTTTCCGTTGAATTATACAAAATGTTGCTCTTTTGAAGCAACACATTTTCTTAATCCGTGAAAACTGAAGCGTTTTGCTTTTATCAAATAGGAGAAATTTCCGTGTTTTTTGCTTAAATAGTGCTGCTTTAATGCCAACATTTCACTTTGTCTGGAAAAAAGCACGATATTTTGCGGAATCGATATGAAAAATATGTCTAAAAGGTCCATTTTTCACGGAAAATGCTATTTTGGAAAACACAAAATAGTTTGGAAAGCGTTAAACATTGAAAGATTTGAATTTTGACGAAAAGTTTATTCATAGTTGAAGGCATTGGTGCATAGATAATGAAAGACCTTTAT